CCAGAACAGGGATCCCCCTGCAGTCCCTGTGGCAGCTCATGGTGAGGCAGATGTGCTCCTGCAGCCCATGGGGGTCCAGAGGTAGAAGAGACCCACCTACAGCCCCTGGAGGTCCATGTGGGAGCAGAGATCCACCTTCAGCCCATGGAGGAGGCCATGCAAGACCACAGGAAGAGTGAGAGGACTCTCCCTCTCAGGAGGAAGGAGTAGCAGAGACAAGGTGTGATGAATTGACCCCATTCACTGTCCCCTGCACCGCTGAGGGGAGGAGGGAGAGAATTCAGGAGTGAAGTTAAGCCTGGGAGGGAGGGAGGGAGGGGTGTTGGGAAGATTTTAAGATTTGGGTTTATTTCTCATTTCCCTACTTGATTTGATTGGTAATAAATTAAACTAATTTCCCCAAACTGAGTCTGTTTTGCCCATAACAATAATTGGTGAGTGAGCTCTCCCTGTCCTTATCCCAACCCATGAGCATTTCGTTATATCTTGTCTCCCCTGCCCAGTTGAGGGGGGAGTGATGGGGCAGCTTTGATGGGCAGCCAGTGTCCAGCCAGAGTCATCCCAACACAAATTCCCAGGTGAGTTTTCTCCCTCCCTAAAGGAGGAAGAAAGCCCCTGGCTGGACACCAAACCCCAGAAGAGATACCAGCACTACCAGGTAGAATATCAGGCATCAGAGCCAGACCAGGTTTCTGGCAGGCTGTGTGCCCACTACAGAGGTGTGTGGCAGTTCCTTTTGCATGGCAGCTGGTCACTGCAGAGCAGCTTTCACTTTGGGGTGCAGTGTTTGCCCAGTGCTCCTCGTTGTCTTGCTGATGGGGGTTAGCTTTTCTGCCCCACATTCAGTGCTTTGTGCATTTATCTGAGCAATAACAAATAAACTTCTTCCCCAGGGGTGGGCTTTGATATTGCCGCTCAGGAACTTCCATCAGTTGTGTATTCACTGACCATGACAGTACTGGATATTTTTGCTATTGATAGACCTGTTAGATTCTTTTTCAGCTTCACCAGACTGAAAAGGTACAGCTTTGCTGCTTTCATGCGGTATAAATGATCTGGGAAAGGGCTGAGTGGTAACACTGTTATCAATACACTGACACACAGGAAACCCACATTTCAAACACCAGATGGTGTCTAGTTGTCCCGTCTTAAAAGGGTATAAAGAAATGATCAGCTGTGAAAGATGACCAGAGTCTGCCCTGTCACAGATGGTGCAGTGCAGATACACAGCAAACTGTTATTAACTGTTTCTTACAATAGAAACTAGGAAGCGCCAGAAGAAATAATTGGGCATCTGGTCTAAATGCAACAGAATAAATTACTTTTCACATTGTACATAGTTACATGGCAGAACTCTTGACTTCACAATACCCTGTGATAATAAAAAATATAAATATCAGTTCTTGGGCATACTGAATTCCTCAAATCCAATTTTGCAGCGGATGGTTAAAAAAAATGCCATCACAAAATAAACACAAAAGGAGGATCAGGAACTATTAATGGTTAGTGGATATTAATGATTAGCAGAGTGGCTCTCCACATTTTATAAAGTTCATAAAGTCTCCAAGTGCTCATATCCGCAGCCTGGTCATGGGTCTGAGCCCATTCCTTGGGCAACTGAGGACTTTCCTGTAGTAGCTTTATAGGAAATATCTGTGATTTGCTGTACCTTTGCCCTCCATTATTATTATCACAGGGAATCAATGAATTAACTCCACCTCCATGGAGGAGAAATAGGATACAGAAGCCAGCACACGCACATGGCTGAGTAGATGGGAATGAACCCTCACAAAAACCTTGGATGTTTTCTTCCAGTGAACATGGCAACAGTTGAGCAGCAGCCACGGCAACCCCAGTGAGAAGACATGGTGGGCAGGCATGGGACCGGTTGGGAGATGGGCTCTGGCAGTACCGGGGCAGGTCTGGCATGTGCACTCTCCCCAGCCCTCCTTTAGACCAGCCAACAGCAGGTTGAAGGAAAATGCTCACCTGGAAAAGGCCACCTGAGTCACAGCAGCAGCTGCCAGCTGCTTCCATAGGCACAGTCAGGTCACAGCTGGCCACGGGAGGCTCTGCAGCCAGGATTTCAATGGGGACAGCACCGTTCTGCCACTCTCTAGGGGCAGACACAGGCAGAACTGGACTCGTGCAGACTTGCTGTGTCAGAGAGGAATGGAGGACACAGAGATTTGCACATTCCATAAACTTGCTGATTTGGGGGAAATAATTCCAAGAGTGTTGTGTCCTGTGAAGGGAACAGTCACAGAGGTCCAGGACCCAGCTATTGCAGGTCACGTCATGTTAATTCCTTTCATAAATCTGTAAATGCCACCTCATGCTAGTTAAAAGCTGACTAAGGTTTAGATTAGGGACAAAAAATCCATGCATCCTTTGTGGGTTTCATTTAATCAATAACATTCATACACTACACAGTTTGGGGCAGATTCTGCACAGGCATATCATCAATCCAAACCTTTCCCAGCTCCAGAGTGCCATGGACATAAACACAGAGGTCAATTCCAGAGGTGCTGGCAGCCCTTGCCAGTGTATTCAGTACTGGGCAGAGGAAGACGACAGCAGGGTGATGTGATGCAGCTTCAGGAGACTCCTGCATCGTGGTCAGGACATTTCCTTGCTGCCAGCACTTCTCCAAGAACCTCACATTTGCTTGGGGCAGGCTGGGAATCCAGGGCCCATAGCCCAGGCTGCAGAGGTGAGGATGGGATCTCAAGCCCACTGCTGGATTTCCCCACTGAATTCCAAGTACAAGGCACCACAAGGCATATAACACAATTTAGATGTTTTAGTTCCTGATTTGTGATTGCAAATTGAATTTTGCCCGGCCAAAACCCCAAACACTCAAATGATAATTAAATTTGTATGGAAAGTTTGCTCTCTCAGTATTTATTATTTATAGATTGAACCCACAAATACAGATGTGTGTCCCCTTCTCCCAAAGCAGACAGTGCTTCTCCCTGTGCACAGTTCCTGGGCTCACAGAGTTGTCCTGAGTGGTATAGCATGTCCTTCCCTGTGTCCAGCACAACTGATCCAGAGTGTGTGAAGCCTGGGAATGCCATTCAGCCAACAGTGGTTACTCAGGGTGGTCAGACAAAATTTCCCAATCACAGCATGATTCTCCTCCTGTCCGAGCTATAGGGCTACAGCCTGAAGCCTGTCCTGTCCTAGGGAAAGGACATAGAAACCAAACTCCTTGCAAGTGGCTTTGGGGGGATGCAGAATAAACTGTCACACAGTGCTAATGCTGTCAAAAAAAATCATTACCCACTGATACCTAAAACTGACAGTACTGAGCTTTCCAAATAACGTCTTTTAAAAGTTGTCACATCCTCTTTATCTGAGCACTCCTGTGCAGGCCAGAGCAATGCTGGGCAAGTCAGGGATCCTTGGCTGGTAGGCAGGCCATGGAGCAGTTAACATTAACATCAACAGCTAGCTCTGCATTAACCATGTGGTTATCAGAGTGACCAAGTGAGAATGGGTCTTGCAGAGAAGAGACAACTGGCAATCTGTTCCTGTAAAACCTCTTGCAATTGCCAGGTCTACTCTTGTCTTTCCTGAAGTTCCCTCTCCAGCATGCAGATAGAGGGAGAAGGAGCCTTCTAACAGGACTCTACTGGGAAAGCAATAGCTGGCTCACCCTGCTCCCCATCACTGTGGACTGCAGCAGCAATTAAGTTCAGCACAGGAAGGAGGCAGGCTCCTGATGCATGAAGAGTGCCTGAAAAGCAGCATTAAACAACCTAGGTGGGGCCATTTTGACCATCCAACCTGCCATGGAGCTGCAGAGTTAACATAAGTCCTGCTAGGCTTCAATGTCCACTTGGCTGGAACTTGTCCCTTGCACAAAGACACCGCAGATTAAATCCTTCCCACAACTACCTTGGTCTTCCACAGCTCTCCCCAAAGCACAGACTGATTCTCCTATATCTAGGAAAGACCTCCTGCAGTGACCAGGAAATACATTTAGGGGCCTCAGTGCACTGAACTATGCATGTATGTGCCCACATCTGCACACATGCAAACACTGATGTACCTTTGCTGTGGGCTGACCTCATCCAGGGCATGGTCTAAACTGCTATTTGGCTCCAGCTGTGCTACATGACCAGGACAATGCAGGCTGCAGCCAAGGACATCAGCTGGGCAGGGAGGAGCCTCAGGAGCCCCCAAGTCTACCCAAAGCTACAGCTAGGCTGAGCCACCTTAGCAACCCCTTGGAACCATAGAGTCCCACCAAGATTCTCCTTCCTGTAAGTTAACCGCTGTGAGGCAATAGAGGATGGTTTGGGTTCATTTTCTTATTTCCCTACCACTTCACTAGCCCAGTGCTGCCTCTCCTGGGAATGGGACACAGCCCACGCCTGTGTCTTCATGTGCGCGTGGAGCAGCACCCTGGAGGGGCCAGAGCACCCCCAACTGCAGAGGAGCTGTGGGACTGTGCTGCAGCATCAGCGCTAATGTCGGCAGCTATCAGTGCCCAGCAGTCGTGACACCAGAGAGCCGATGGTGCTCACTAGGTGCGATCATGGCCCCACGGCCCAGGACACGTCCCTGATTGTGGAGCCTCTCGCGCTGGCGAGAGCGGCTGTTGGGAACTACTGGGGGTCCAGCACGGGGAGAGTGGGCGCTGGGAGTCACTGGGGGTGCAGCATGGCGGGGCACCGGGGGGTTCTGGAGCACGACACCGGGAGCGGCGCTGGTGGCTCCGGGGGTCCAGCACGAGGCGCGGGCGCACCGGCGGTTTGGGGGGCGGCTCGGGGGGCGGTGCTGGTGCTCTGGGGGTACGGCTTCGGGGGCCGGGGCGGCGCCGGCCGCTCCGGGGCACGGCTGGGAGGCGGTGCCGGAGCCGCTTGCGGTGCAGCTCGGGGGCGGGCCGGGCCGGGCGGCCGTTTCCGCCCCCCCCGCGCTGCGGCCGGGGCTCGGCCCCGCTCCGTCCCGCGGCGCAGGGAGCCGGGCCGGTGCCAGGGCTGCCGCCGGCCGGGCCGCAAGCCCCTGCCGCCATGGCCCGCGTCTCGGCGCTGCTCAGCCCCGTTCCTTGTTTGCTCTTCGGCTGCGACCTCTGCCTCGTGCGAGCCAGTAAGTGCGGCCGGGCCGGGAGGGCACCGGGGCCACGCGTTCGCTGCGGACCTGGCGCCCCCCGGGCGGGGGACCCTGGGGGCGCCCGCCCCTGCCGTGGGCTACGGCCCCCCGGACTCTCGCCGGTCTTCCCCCCGTCCCCGGCGTGGCCTTGGCCGCAGACCCCGGGCACCCCTCGGGCATCCCGTGACGCCGCCGCCCCTGAGCCCTCCGTGCCTTCGGCCGTGTCGTGTCCCCTCCCCGCGGGACGGCTGCGGCCGCGCTGCCCTCCCGGGACTCCCGCCGCCGGGCGCTCCGTGCCCCGCGGAGCGCGGCCCCCGCATCCCGTCCTGCCCCGATGGAGCTCCGGCCCGATGGAGCTCCTGCCCCGATGGAGCTCCTGCCCCGATGGAGCTCCTGCCCCGGGAGGAGACGCTCCGGGCTGCGGCGGGCTGCGGCCGGCCCCGCCTGGCAGGGATCCTGTCCCTTCTGCCGGTGTTCGCCGGGACACCGAGCTCAGGGCACCCAGGGCACCGCTGTCCTTGTACCCCTTGACTCGTCGGGATGACTCGCTGTCAGCAGCCGCCTCCTGCTGTCAGTTTGCCCCTCGTCAGGTTACTGAGATATTAAATCGAATTGCGAGTGCCAGACGCGTTCTGCTACATTCTGCCGTGTTTTCCGTCTCCTTGCAAGATACGTGCTGACGGATTCAGGAAGAGATGCAGTCAGGGGTGTTAAAAAGGGGCCACTTATTTTTAGATGTGCGGTCTGGTGCTTACTCTCTGCTGCAGCAGTAAGTTGGGCAAACATCTGGGTGCCCTTGAGCCATAGCCCCAAGGGCACGGGCCGAGGGGCAGGGGTGATCCCCTCTCCATGTCACAGCAGGATGAGGAGGGCACCGATGGAGCTATGCCCCATCCCTCTGCAGCACCACATCTACCAGCATCCCTCGTCAGGGGTATCTGTCCAACCCCTTTGCTAACCCATGGAGCCGGGCTGTGTGGCAGATCTGGTCCCATGCCCAGCTACCGACTGACCATCCCTCCCACTGCCCACCAGCCATCCCTCCTGGTGCCCAAATGCAGGCTTGCAGGGCTACTGGCTTCTGCACACAGCCCAGGTCTTCCCACCCCTTAATCAGGCTTATAAGGAGCACACTGCTGTACAGGCAGGACAAAACCTGCGCCAGGCCTTAAGTAAGTGACTGTGCTTTCTGTGGGATGCCCCTTTTGTAATACAGCTTTAATAAAAAGTGAAACTGGACAACTTATAAATGATACAGAATCATTAGTGGTTAGTGCACTGAGCAAGGCTAAACAGTGGCACACTTCTCCCAGAGAGCCCATCTTGGCTTTATAGCCAGAACATGGTTATCAGAGAGCATGTTTTTTGGAGCCCTTGCATTCACAGATCTTTATGGCAACAGCTCTGGCATGAAGCTACTCTGACCTCAGCTGCAGAACTGGCTGGATGATGTTAGATGCCATGTGGGGACCATACACAAAGCTTTGTCCTTTGGAGGTCTTGTTGTAACAACTTTCAGTGAGGTCTCATCTTGCATATCATAGAATCCTGGAATGGTTTGGGTTGGAAAGGACCTTAAAGACTGTCTAATTCTACCCTTTCTGCTGTGAGCAAGGGCACATTCCACTAGACCAGGTTGTTCCAAGCCCCATCCAACTTGGCCTTCCAGGTCAGGGGCAGCCACAGCTTCTATGGGCAACCTGTATCAGGGCCTCACCACCCTCACAGGCAAGTCTTTCTCCCCCATATCCCATCTAACCCTGCCCTCTGTCAGTGTGAAGCCATTCCCCCTTGTCCTGTCCCTCCAGGTCCTTGTCCAAAGTCCCCCTCCAGCTCTCTTGGAATTTTTAGGCACTGGCAGGGGCTCTGAGGTCTCCCCAGAGCCTTCTCTCCAGGCTGAACAACTACAGCTCTCCCAGCCGGGCTGCAGAGCAGAGGTCATTTGGATTAAGCATTGTCCCGTGTATCTAGGGTTAACTTCTCAGAAGTTTTGACTTCTGAGGCTTCCTGTCTTCTCTTTTTCTGCCAGGAGTGCAAATCCCATGTGCTCAGAAATGTATTCTCTGCAGTTCGCTCAGTGTCAAACTGACAAAGGAACACTGTTTTTTCCAATGCAGAACTGCAGCCTGGACACCAGGTCTCCTGTCACAGAGGTTCAGGGCTGCTGGCCTGGAGGCTGCACCAGGCGTGTTTGGGATGCATGAGGTCTGGCACACTGAACCATGTGTGCTGTGGCTCTGCTGTGCCCCCGGATCCTCTCACCCTCCTGCTACCAGTGAGTGTTGCCTCTGCACGGGGCCTGTGCAAGCTCTGGCTAAGTACAGCTGGAGCAGTTCTGTTAGCCCCAGGTGGACCCAGCAGCATGGCTTGTGAATCAGTGCAGTGCCTTTGTTCTCAAATAATCGAGTGACAGTCCCAGGGCCGTGTCTCAGCATCCCCAGCCCAAAAACCTGGGCTGGGCCAGGCTGGGCTCCCTGCAGAAGCCTAGAAAATTCTTGTGCAGAGCTGGGAGCCCGCTACAAGCTCCATCCACAAACTTCTGTGTCACAGAGATGTCAGACCCTGTCTTTAATTTCCTCACATACACTTAAAGGCTGGGAGTCCAGTTGCCCCCATTGTGCATGTTCAGGACTCTTTTTAATTCTGTTAGATGTAAAAAGCCCCCTAATTTATTGCTGTAGATGTATCCTGTGGAGCACCATGTCCTGTTCTTGTCCCGAGGCCAGCTGGCAGGGTTTGGTCACATCCATAGTATTAAGCTCATGAGTTCCAAAGAGGGGGGCACATCAGTGCTACCCGCCAGGAATGGTTTCTGGCTCGTGCTAACTCCCAGGCCATGCCCAAGAGTGGTTTGGACACATCCTGGTTGGTGTAGATCAAATCAGTTCTCGAACAAATCTCCACCACTGGATTCTTGGGCTGTTCTGACCCCACTATGTTTGCTAGCACAGTGGTGCTATAAGACAACTGTTCTTAGGCCTGAAGGCCAGCAGAACCATGCAGCCCCTCATACTCCCACACTTTGAAATGCCTGTGCCTGGGACAGCACGGGGGAGTGGTAGTTTGCCAGCTGACAGGGTGCTGCCACAACTGGGCTGTGAACTGTGCAGCTGAGCTGACAGTGGCCATGGCTGGGGTGGAAAACCAGACCAGGCCCAGCAGAAAAGGACTTGGGGTGCTGGTCAACAGCAGCTGAACGTGAGCCAGCATGTGCCCAGGTGGGCAAGAAAGCCAAGGGCACACAGGCTTGTGTCAGCAGTACTGTGGCCAGCAGGACCAGGACAATGGCTGTCCCCCTGTGCTGGACACTGGTAAGGCACGTCCAGTCCTGGGGGTAGTTCTGGGCCCCTCATGACAAGAAAGAAAAGAAGCGTGTTCAAAGAAAGGCAATGGAGCTGGGAAAGGGGCTGGAGCACAAGTCTGATGAGTGACTGAGGGAGCTGAGGGGGCTCAGCCTGGAGAAACGGAGGCTCAGAGAGGACCTTCTTGCTCCCTACAAGTCCCTGACAGGAGGGTGGAGCTAGGCCAGGGTCAGGATCTTCTCCCAGATAACTAGTGATAGGACAACGGGAAATGGCCTCAAGTTGCACCAGTTGGAGGTTCAGGTTGGATGTTAGGAACAATTTCTCGTTGAAAGAGTGGTTAAGCATTGGAACAGGGGTCCCAGCACAGTGGTGGAGTCACCACTTCTGGAAATGTTCAAGAAATGACCGGACATGGCACTTTGCGATATGGTTTAGTGGGCATGGGGTTATTTGGTCAAAAGTTGGAGTTGATGATCTTGGAGGTCTTTTCCAACCTTAATGATTCTATGATTCCATCTGCAGGGAGCTCAGCTCCTGTGCCCACAGAGTACATACACCTTGGGCAGTGGCCAGGGCTGGGGCCGTGGCTTTGGTCTGCCTGTTTTGCTGATGGCGTATGGGAAAGCAGAGTGCACGGATACAGACATGGCTCAGGGGCTCCCTCTCATAGGCTAGTGATAAACCAGACCCCTGCTGGCAAAACTACAGAGAGACATTCTTTGTGGGATAAAGGATATTTGAGAGTATCTTTGAATCTTTTCCAGTTTTCCTGACTCCTGTTCTGAAAGAGAAGCACAGAACCCTGTGATATCCTTGTTCATGTTGTCTCCAGTGACCCTCTCTCCTGATGGTGTGTCAAACTTCTGGAGATACACTCAGTCCCATGGTCTCTCTGAGAACAATTTTTCATATTTTCTGGGCTCTCCTGTCTGTTTTAATTGCCCTTGGCAGACCACAATCCCGAATTTCTCAGAGTGGGAACCACAGCCTTCTCCTGGTTTGATCTGGAGCTGGGTATTTTCAGATGTGAATGAATGCACTAAAATAACTGGCCTGCAGAAAACACCTTTCCTTGTCACTCTAACTGGGGTTGTTGTTGATGTCACAGCTGACCTTTCTCTTGTTCTCAGGTGCCTTCTGGGGCTCTTTTTCTATCTGTATAAATCACAACGCTGACTTTGTGCTACATGGGCAGCTTGTAGAACAACACTGACTTGTTTACGAGAGTCAGGACACATGTACAGCAGCCTCAGTGTCTTTCATGTGCTGCTGTGTGTTATTTCAAGACAAAATTTGGCTTTGTGTGCAGGACTGCGTAGGGTCCTGCCGTGCTCTTAGTGCTGTGAAATCTCAAAGTGGTGATGGTCAGTCAGGGGTCAGTCAGGTCAGCTTTGTGCAGAACAGCAACGGCTGAGCGTTGCTGCCAGCTTTGCAGCCAGTGGCACTGCACTGCTGGGACAGCCAGCTCTGCCTTCAGCATTGGCCTTTCCTCCACACCCTGGAGCAAGGAGTAATGCCAGGCAGGGGAAATGGCCAGATTGAGTTGCAGAGTGTGTTTATTCCAAGCTGCCCCATTTTTCTGTCACAGTCAGTATATCATTGCTGTGTCTGGGCTGCTTCCTACGCACTTCTAGGTGGTGTGCCAGGATCCGTGATGTGCCCATCCGCAGGACAGTCCCAGAGCTCTGTGCCTGCACACTCCTCACACACACAGTGGGCTGGCAGGGCTCAGCCTCATGCACCTGCTGTGCCACTCCTCTCCTGGGGACAGATTCACCAGGGAAGCTGCTCCCTGTAACCCTGGCCAACATGTTGCCACAGGCAGGTGTTGGAGAGGCCCCATGGTGGTGTGCAGGGATGAGTGCCTGTTCTAAGACATCTTCTTTTGCCTCTTTCCTATGCCTCGCCTTGCTCCGTGCCTGGCTCATCCAGACAGGCCACCATCCCCTGTCAACGTGACTGTGACACAGCTGAAGGCAAACTCTGCCACAGTCTCCTGGGACGTCCCAGAAGGAGATGTGGTCATCGGCTATGCCATCCTACAGCAGGTATCCAGGCTCTGTCCCCAGGGGGCTGGGGACACTGATTACCAGCATGCTCCTATGTCATCCCTTTTTCCGCAGCCTGAGGCTCCTCTGGTACCTGCTCAAGGGCACCTGTGCTGCTGAAGTGCCCTTGCCAGGGCGCTCCATCTGAGCCATCCATCCTGGTGGGAGGCAGCAGACCACAGGTTGCACTGGGAGTATTCCCTCCAGTAGCTTCTCTGTGATTTCTCTGGATAAAGATCTTGCTTCAGCCATGACATAACCCTTCTTCGCTTGCTTGCTCCACCTGCGCAGCCCTGGGTGATAGTGGCTTCTCCAGAGAGACACCTGGCCCTCAAAGCATGCAGGGATGCTGCCTTGCGCAGTGCTGGCCAGCCTGGCCCACCCCAGGGTGGATGGTTGCCTGGGAAGGAAGGAATGAGGGCAGTGTGCCCAGCACAGCCCTGCAGCCTGGGGACTGTGCCTGTTGCAGCCAGGAGCAGCCTCTGGGGGCTGACAGCTCTTCCCTCTGGCAGCGGCAGGACGGGCAGATGCAGCGCTTCATCCGGGAGGTGAACACCACCAACCGCGCCTGCGTGCTGTGGGACCTGGCAGAGGATGCCGACTACATCATCCAGGTGCAGAGCATCGGCCTGTATGGGGAGAGCCAGGCCAGCAAGCGCGTCCACTTCCGCACCCTGAAGGAGACTGACCGCCTGCCTTCCAACAGCTCCAACCAAGGTGAGCTCCTTCCGGCTTGTCCAGGCACTGCTGGTGGGGCCACACCTGGAGGTCTCCACAGCAGACAAGCAGGGATTCAGCAGCCAGTGAGGAAGGCGCTGCCCTGAGCAGCAGGCTGGGGATACACAGGGTTGTACAGGCTGCTGCTTTGTCCGTTGTGGCCCTGGTAATGTCCCCAAGCCCTGGTTTGCAGCCCTCCTGTCCCAGGTCTTGGCACCTATTCGGCTAGGCAGACTGTGGCCAGCACAGCTGCTGCCTGTAGGAAGCCAATACTGAACGGGCTCTCAGATCATCCAGCCTGCAGGCTACCAAAGGAGAAATGACAGAGCCCCACGGTCTCCTTTCCGACCCATGTCCCTGTTGCCTTGGAGTTGCCTACATGCTGGCCCATGAGATAATCCAAGAGATGATGCCCAGAGAGGGCACAGGAGTCTGTCTCCAGCACTGAGTATGAGAGGGGGTCTTGAGTATGGTAGGGCAAGCAGATGGCTGACTTTCCTCAGAACTTTTCTGTTCAGCTGAGAGCCTTCCTGACCTGACCTGGCCCCTGCATAGGGAGTGATCTCAGTGATTACTGGCATGCATTGTGCAGTCCCTATGTGAACCCAAACAAGCTGTTGGAATGACTGACTGCCTTTGTAGCAAGGATAGTTAATCTGACACAGGAAAGCCATAGGATGTATGTCCTCTCCCCAGCCAGGAGAGAGGATATCCCACACCCATCCTTGTTTGGGGGAAGTGGGTTTCTCTCCTTTGGAGTTCCTCAGATCCTCCAGTGTTGCTATGTGCGAGGGTATCTGTTGCCAACCCTGCCTAGGGTCTCTTCTCTGCAGGTGACATCACCATGGAAGGGCTGGACAAAGACCGGCAGCTGCAGACAGGCGAGATTATCATCATTGTGGCTGTGCTGCTCATGTGGGCCGGTGAGTGCCACAAGCAGCATTCTGGTGGGCTGGGGCAGAGGTGCAATCCAGGATGCACAAAGAGGATGTGGCTCAAGAGAGTGCAGAGGCACATTGATGTGGATCTGGCATCCTTTCCAGTAAGTCCATTGAATCTCTGTAGGAGACAGAGCCAGTGGGGTAAAAGGAGCAACCACAGCCACTGCTCAGCTATCATGGCCTGGAGTATGTGGAAGAGCAGGAGACAGTGTGGGACCCAGAATTACAGGGTGGGAGCATCCCACATGACGGTAACGAGTGGGTGTGTTGCTTGGGCCTTAGCTAGTGTGTCTGACATCTGAGAACACTGCTGCACTGGCTGGTGCAGCTGTAAGGTAGGTGATGTGCTCCTGTACAGCATGATTAAGGCTAGTGCTCCAGCAGACAGCAGGTTGCCCTGGAAGCATGGGAGCCTAGTAGGTAAGTCAGCTCCTGACTAGTCACATGCAGCTGCTATGAATGGGAAGTCATTGGTCCCCTACTCCCTTCCCAGGAAAAGTGGATTTTGTAGTGGTATATTGCAGGAATCTCTCCTTTTCCTGTCCTTGACACTTTTCTAGTGCACTGGAAGAAAATACAAGACAACGTGGCACAGGTTGGTGTGTCAGAGTGCCAACAGGGAGGAGTCAGGCCCACTCTGTGTGTGCCTGAGTGTTATCACACACACACTGGAGTTTGACCAGCACAGTCACAGCTGGGGGCATCACTCCATACTCCTGTGTCCAGGGTCCCCAGGTGTGGGACATGCTGTGTGAGATGGGTGCTGTGAAACCATGGCAAAGTGACTGACTCTACAGCCAGTTTGCACAAACAAAGCCAAGGGCTGGTTTTTGTGAGAGTCACAAGCACTAGCCCTGTAACTTTAGTGCCTTGCTGGAGTTAGTCCAAAACTCATCCAGCTGCTCATTGACCTCACTGTCCCTCTCCAAGTGCCTGAGCATCTGCCCTTGGTGAGCACTGAGCATGTTCCGAGTGCCCCAGTGGCCTTGGCCACTTCCATGCCTGTCTGCCCGAGGAGACTGGCCCAGCCCCACGTGCAGAGGTGCCTCGGGTGGTGCAGGCTGATACACGGAGGGTGTGGGTGTGCAGCACCCTGGGGAGCCCTGGGTGCCACTGCTCTGCAGCTGGGATGCTGCAAGGAGGGGAGGCAGGCACGGCCAGTGCGAGGGAGTCCTTCATCCCATCTTTCAAGGGAGTCCTTCATCCCATCTTTCAAGGGAGTCCTTCATCCCATCTGTCTTTCGGCAGCGGTGATTGCCCTGTTCTGCAGACAGTATGACATCATCAAGGATAACGACTCCAACAACAACAAGGAGAAGACAAAGCCATCCTCAGAGCACAGCACACCTGAGCGACCGAGCGGAGGGCTGCTGCGGAGCAAGGTGAGAGGGGGGGGCTGGCAGAAGGGATGGCATGTGATGTCTGCTGGGGCTTGTGGCCTCCACAGGTTCTGAATCTCTCCAGAAACAGAAACACTCCAGCTTATGCTCTCACCCTAAAGACTGAGGAGTTTTAGGGTGCAGTGAGTCCTGGTCTCTTCGGGGCAGTGTGTGTGCCCCATGGGTGATTGCAAGAGAAACACTGGAAGAGACAACAGGATATGTCAGATGGGATGGCTCTTGCCCGCTCTGTCCTCTCACTGTAACAGACCCTTCACCATGCGCCTCCAAGGCTGCACTTCTCCTGCACCAATGGACTGGTCTGGCTCCTGCCTGTTCAGGCAGGAGTGGACAGGCTGGGCAGCTGTTCTTGTGGTTCCTGCACTGGTCTGTCACTGCTTACTTTCTGCCTTCACCACAGCCTACTCCAGGTTATCACCACACAAGTCATTCCAGAGCCCTTTCCCCACCCTGATGGAGATGTTGTGCCAGGCTGTGGATGGGAAGGGAGGAGTACTTTCCCTCAGCACCTGACACTTCTCCTTTGTTACCTGCCAAAGACAGTGATTTATAGCCCTGATGCTCTAATGGGACTGTGTGTTAGGTTTTTGCTTGTGTCTCATCTGCCGCCTGTGTCAATGGTGGGAACTCCCCTCACTGTGTTGCCTGACTGCCCCACTGACTCCACATCTTGGTTTCCAGTGGATGTCAGGAGCAGAACCTTCCTGTTGGGACTTCAAGGCCCCAGTTCCCCTCCTCCAGATTTTCCAGCTTCTTGATTACTCCTTGCCAGAGATCCCTCCTCTTGGATCCCTTCTGCAAACTGACCCTGCTCTGCTGAGTTCTGCTGGTCTTGGTGCCTGCTGTGGGCTTGGGGGGCTCTGCCAAGGGGTCTGATCCCAGGGGCACAGCAAAGCAGAGCCTTAAAGCAAATTTTTCTCTCATAGAAGAAATCTCCCTCGGTCAATATCATCGAGGTGTAAGTGCAGCACCAGCTCTGCGTCTGGGGTCCTGAGTGTCCTGCTAGAGCCAAAGCAGGCCTTGGAAGAAGAGGCAGCACCAGGCGCCCAGCCTGGAACTCAGCATGCGATGATCCACGTATCAGAACTCCCACTTTCCCGAGGGCAGCTGTCCGGGGATGTGCCTGGAGCTGGCTCCCAGCCGTGCATGCAGAGTGTGGCCCTGCCCCTCCCGCATGCCTGGCCCGCGCCCCTCGCCGCTGCGGCAGCACGGAGCTTGAGCGGGTGGGGCCAACACAACCGCTGGGGGGTGAGCTGAGGGGAGCGAGGGGGGCAGTGCACTGGCCTGAGGGTGGCCACGTCCCTGGGCACCGGCTTGGTCAAAGCCCTGGGTGCAGCCGTGGCACTGGACGCCTGCCTGGTGTCAGCCCGGGACAGACTTTGCTCTCAGCTGCCTGTCTGGGCTTGGGGGGCTGCCTGTGGAGGACGGGAGTTGCTCCCCTCTGGGCCCTGAGGCTGAGGGGATGGGGCAGTGCAGGCATTGCCCCAGTGCTACCAGGGGAGCTGTGGCCAGGTGGCAGGAGTGTTTGTCTGTGGGGCTGGGCCCAGCCAGCACAGGGGAAGAAGAGTGGATTGCTGCTGGAGAACAGGGCTCCACTGCACTCTGTCATGGCCACACAGGGACTTTGAGGCCTCTCTCTACTACAGAGGACAAAGGCACAAATGAGGATGAGAAGTGAGTGCTGGCACAGTGCCTGGCCAGCCCGCAGAGCCTGCAGCCAGGGCAGGGATTGCTAGTGAGAGCCCCACAGAGCTGGGAGAGTTGGCAGTGCCAGGGCATGGCTGTGGCTGCACGGTGTCTGTAGTAGGGCTCAGTGCTGGCACATTCAGGCTATTTGTGGGGAGCTGCTGAGCACTCTGTGAGCAGCACAATGCCTGTGCTGCCTGGAGGAGGCAATGTGGTGAGGCCTGCAAGGTCTCAGTTGGAGGGAACAGGATGATACAAGGAGGCTCTCTGCTGCCCTGGCTGCTGCTCTCCCTCCATGCTCTGCTCTGCAGCCTGCCATGTGCTGGCCCTGCAACCCTGGACTCAAGCATCACAGGATCCAGCGTCTTCCAGGAATAAACCTCCCAATAAAAGCACTTTCAGGACTCTTCCTTCCAGGTGCTGCTCAGCTCCTGCTGCAGGACTAGGTGGGGAAGGGATGGGATAAGTGACTCCTGCGGCAGGGTCTTTTCAATAAAAGCATCCTGGCTCAAAGGCAGCATTGTCCCTGCAAAGCTGCAGGTCTTGTGTGTGTCTGTGCACGTGTGTGTGTATCAGTAGTTGTTGAATACATCTGTCTGGCCCTTAGGAGAAGACCTCTTCCTGCATGCTGGGCAAAAGCTGCAGGTCCTCCAAGGTCACCTTGCTCCTCTGGCCCTTGAGGGAGAGCCAGTGCTGCATGCTGGGCCATGTTGTGCTGCTGGACCAGTGGCAGGCTGTCCCACTGAGGATGGCATCACAGCTGCGTCTCTGCAGAGAGCAAAGACATCCTGGCAGCAGGGCCAAGAAGGGGACAAGGCCTCACCCTGACAGGCTGCTGGCTGGAGGGGCCTGCACTGCTTTCTGCTCAGGTGAGGAAGGGGGTACCTGAGTGGGGATGGGATGCAACTGCTGCTGGGCTGTACCCTGGGCTGCAGGGAGCATGGTCGCAGCTCCAGAAAGACAAATACCTTGTTTTGCCCACTGGCTTGTTTTTTAGAGTACATTAAAAAAATTAGGGCTGCCAGGGAAATACAAGAGTAGGCACACACAAAGAATCAAAGGATCATACTACAGCAGAGATGAGGAGCTAGGGAAGGCACAAAAAAATTGTCAAAATGCACTGGTTGGGGCCAAATAAAAAAAGAAACACAAAGATCTGATATTAAATGTAAAAGTAGGATGTGGTATTGAAGCAAAAAAGACTTTCCCCACCCAAAAAAACCCCAAACCACCACTTCTTTCTCAGACCATGGCAGTGCAGGAGGGCAGGGAACTGCAGACATGGGTGCTGGAAGCAGAGGGCCTGACAATGACCTGCTGACTCTAACAACAGTTACAGGTTGCTATGTGCCCTCAGCTGAGGGAGGAAAGGTACGAGACCAGATTCAATATGTGAAACTACAAGTGAGAAAAACAGTACACAGCTCCTGACTGACTCATGGCACCCCAAGCTTCCCCAGTGCCAGCCTTCCAATGGCACCCCAAGCCTCCCCAGTGCCAGCCTTCCAATGGCACCCCAAGCCTC